TGTACTCTTTTTCCCTTAACTAAGTTTTGTCCCATTGGGTTTTCTTAGTAAGGTTTTTAATGAGGCAGCATAACTGGTCCTGCAGTATCAGTTAATATAGGTCCTGAAGAACCTAGCCAACATTATCTCGTAGCATAATGTTGTTAGTGTATAATGAATGATGATATATCTGAGGGGGAGTGTTAAATATGGCAGATATATTACTCCTATTATTTAGAATATCTTGTTTCCTTATTGACCTAGACTTTACCTCCTCCTGTGTATGTATAAATACTCCCGTATATGATGAATAAAGTACCGAGTTCACAACAATAATGAAATACTCCCTCCGTCCCGGAGTATTCGTCCAGTTTTGACTTTTGGAACTGTTAATCTAAGCACTTTAACTCATAAAATTCTCTCAATGTGTAAGCCTAAATATAGTCATGTGTGATCTTGTTTGATTTGTCTTAACATATATATTATTAATATATAATTTCTATAATTTTTTAATATGCAAATTACAAGATAAAATTGATTAAAGAAGTGTATTGGATAGTGTGTAAAAATGAAAGTGAACAAATACTCTGGGACGGAGGTAGTATAGTGTTATAAAAATAAGATTATTAGTATATTTATTTTCTTTTTACTCGTTTTTAACAAATAAATTTATACCATTCATATATAATTTTAATGATATCACTTAATTATCTTACTTTAAAAAAATTATGCATATTTAGAAAAAAACTGAAGGAGTTGAAAATATTAGAAAAATTAAATTGTTAAAAAGTCACTTAATTAAATAAACATCCAAATTAATATGTAAGAAAATTCTAATTTTGGATTTAAAAAATTATCGTTTTCTGAGTTTGAGATGATATGTTATAAACTTAGGTATATAAGGCTATTGTATATTCATCATACACAAATAACATTTTTAACTCATTGTTGAAAGAAGATTAAAGTAGAAGTAAACATAGAAAATATACCAAAATATGAGTTCCATATTTTTATTCTAAAATAAAAGTTAAAATGCATGTACAATTCTAATCATGCCAATATATAATACCAAAATGCATTGTGAAATATCGATAGATGTACAGTATCACGTTTTCATAGTAAAACTTTTATTTTAAAGATAAAATATAGAGATTCTATTTTGATATTTTCTCTATATTTTACTTTTATTTAAAAACTAGTATAGAATTAGACAAAAATGATCTGATCTCTTTTTGACTCGAAACCCGACTTGGAAATACTATAAGTTTTAAACAAGTTTTTGTTCAGCGAACTCAAAGTTGACCGAACTTGAAATGACCCGCTAAAAATGGGTCAAACTTGACCGAGTCCAAACTGACTAACCCACTAATGTAAGAATTTTTCAAAATCATATATGAAGTATTTTATAATGAAATACTCCCTCCGTCCCGGAGTATTCGTCCAGTTTTGACTTTTGGAACTGTTCATCTAAGCACTTTGACTCATAAAATTCTCTCAATGTGTAAGCCTAAATATAGTCATGTGTGATTTTGTTTGATTTTTCTTAACATATATATTATTAATATATAATTTCTATAATTTTTTAATATGCAAATTACAAGATAAAATTGATTAAAGAAGTGTATTGGATAGTGTGTAAAAATGAAAGTGAACAAATACTCTGGGACGGAGGTATTATAGTGTTATAAAAATAAGATTATTAGTATATTTATTTTCTTTTTACTCGTTTTTAACATATAAATTTATACCATTCATATATAATTTTAATGATATCACTTAATTATCTTACTTTAAAAAAATTATGCATATTTAGAAAAAAACTGAAGGAGTTGAAAATATTAGAAAAATTAAATTGTTAAAAAGTCACTTAATTAAATAAACATCCAAATTAATATGTAAGAAAAATTCTAATTTTGGATTTAAAAAATTATCTTTTTTTGAGTTTGAGATGATATGTTATAAACTTAGGTATATAAGGCTATTGTATATTCATCATACACAAATACCATTTTTAACTCATTGTTGAAAGAAGATTAAAGTAGAAGTAAACATAGAAAATATACCAAAATAAGAGTTCTATATTTTTATTCTAAAATAAAAGTTAAAATGCATGTACAATTCTAATCATGCCAATATATAATACCAAAATGCATTGTGAAATATCGATAGATGTACAGTATCACGTTTTCATAGTAAAACTTTTATTTTAAAGATAAAAATATAGAGATTCTATTTTGATATTTTCTCTATATTTTACTTTTATTTAAATTATTTTGTTTTAAATGATCATATATTTTACTTTTATTTAAATTATTTTGTTTTAATTATTTATTTTTAATGAATATTTTTTTTAACAATTTTTTTTACTGAATATAGAAGAATTGGAAAAACTAATTTCCAACAAACATAAATAAAAAAACAACTAAATACGAACAATTACAAACAAATAAGAATATATACTCCGTAGTAATAAAAGAAAAGAATTAAACGACGCCTGAGAGATTCGAACTCTCGCGGAGAAACCCCATGTACTTAGCAGGCACACGCCTTAACCACTCGGCCAAAGCGTCAATTACGTTCATTTGTTGTAAAGCTTTTATATTTTTCTCTGTTGTCCTATGTACATCTTATTTACTCCCAAGTCCCAACTTCTTAGACTCCGTAATTTTTCTCCACGCTTATTAAAATAGGATAAGTATAATTGTAGTTTGTTAAGAGGAAAGAATAATTATGAGTAAATTTTCAAAATAGTCTTTTGTAATAAGGTATTTTTCCAATTCAGTCATCATTAAGTTTTAATTACCTATATGGTTCTCTATAATTGAAATATATTCCCAAGATAGTCCTTCATAAATAATGTTATTCAAATGATGATTAATTAGGAGATATTTTGGTATTTTGATCATTCAAATTTAAAGTATATTCTCAAAACATTCATTTCTGTACAACTAAATATAAAATTTAAAAAATATATATTGACTATAAATAATTCATAAATTATTTAAAACTTAGAAAAAAACTTTTAAGTTTAAAATCAAATACACATCTCTAACTAGAAAAACCATTTTGGGAAAGCACTTCATTATAAATGATCATTTTAAGAATTAATTCTAATTTTAGCAGATAAAAATACCCAAATACCCTCAATTAATCCTAATTTGAGTAACATTATTAACGAAGGACAATCTTGGGAATAAATCTCAAATATAGAGGACAACGTAGGTAATTAAAACTTATTGAGGACTGATTTGGAAAAACACCTTATTATAAAGGACTATTTTGGGAATTTACTCAATAATCATTAAACACCAATTTTTTAAAGAAAATATTTGAAGAGTTGTGTTATCTAAGGGGTACCCTAACCTTATTTCGCCCGAATTTCACCGGGGGCACTTGCCCAGGCATGCCCCCCTCCTCCGCCCCTGACAGTAGCCAATCCCATGATGTAGAGTGAGCAAGTAGGGGGAAGGTGTTGGGACTGTGCGTACCCTCACCCCAACCCCGCATTAGTATGATATTGTCCGCTCTGGGCTAAGCCCTCACGGATTTGTTTTTGGCACCTCCCAAAAGGCCTCATACTAATGGGGTTGGGTGAACGGTGAACCTATATATTTTGGTCCATTTTTTCTTCTCCATCCGGTGTGGGACTTGAGGAATCCCAACAGACCTCCCCTCATCCAAGGACCACACAACTTCCGGCATCCCCTCCAGCGGTAATCCCTTTTTTTCTCTTTATCTGCTAACCATCTTGCACCGCCGCACACTCTTTGCGGGACACGCCGCCCGACCTCCTATGTCGGGAAGACTTTCGACGCAAGGCTCAAACCGCAGATCTTTCCTTCGCTGGGCTACACCATTTGATCCGCCAAATCATCTTGTACCGCAGTGGCTATAACTTCACGGGACACGCCGCCCGACCTCCTCTCGCCGGGAAGACTTTCGACACAAGGCACCAACTGCGGTTTCTCTTTCTTGGTCTTGGTCCTATTGTTATACCGTCACACTGAGATTTTTCCACACTGCACAGTTGCTGCTCACGCCCGCAAGAACCTGGGCTCTGATACCACATGTTGGGACTGTGCATATCCTCACCCCAACCCCGCATTAGTATGATATTGTCCGCTCTGGACCAAGCCCTCACGAATTTGTTTTTGGGCACCTCCCAAAAGGCCTCATTCTAATGGGGTTGGGTGAACCTATATATTTTGGTCCATTTTTTCTTCTCCATCCGGTGTGGGACTTGGAGGAATCCCAACAGAAGGGGATAGGTTTAAAGGGTGTTTTTTTTTGAACAAAGCTCGTAATATTTAACCACAACATTCAGTTCACATATACAACCATATTGAAAACCAAAAACATTTAGGCTAGCAGCAAAACAGCTAAACAATATGCACTACTCTTAATTTATGGTTAATATATGTCTTCAATTGGCTTTTAATCAAGTAGCAGGAATCCAGAATAGTCACCTCCTCCTTTTTTCATAATTTTCTTGTTTCTTGCCTTCCACACTGCATAACATATTGCAGCAAAAGCTGCAATTGCAATACCTCTGTTCTTCCTACCTTTGATCTGCTGAATTGCCCCCAACATCTCTTTGTCATTATTAGCTATCCATCTGGTCCCAACCCAATTGCATATTTCATTTTGGATCCCTCTAGTATAAGGGCAAGAGTAAAACATATGCTCTTTGTCTTCTATATGTACAGAGCAGAGAACACAGTGAGTACTAATGTTCATATACCTTGCTAGCCTTGTTTTGGTTTGTAATCTGTCTTTCCATCCCAGCCACTGAATGAATTGATGCTTGGGAATTGTGAGCTTATTCCAAACAAACCAGTTCCATTGGACCTTAGTATTGTCTCCCATAAGCCACTCATATCCCCCTTGAACATCATATCTCTCTCTGATGGGCATGCCCTCAAAATCTTTCCTCCTCAACAGGATTTTTTTCAAATAGTAACAGAAATTAGGCTTGGGTGGTACAGTCCAAATATTATCCTTTTTAAGATACTTATTATGAATCCACTTAACCCATAGTATGTCTTTTTTACTAGCTATATCCCAGAGCAGCCTGTGATTACAAGCCAGATTCCATGAAACTAGATCCCTGAACCCTAATCCTCCTGCTTGTTTAGCTTTGCATATTTCATCCCAATTGACAAGAGGTATCTTGGTATACTGGGCTTTGGCACCCCAAAGGAAGTTCCTGCATATGCTTTGTATTTTTTGCATCACTCTATTGGGTATAATGAAGAGTCTGCACCAAAAGGATATCACTCCATACAAGACTGTATTAATTAATTTGCACCTCCCTGCATAAGATAAATTCTTTGATGCCCAAACTGAGATCTTGGCTGTTAATTTGGCTACCAGAGCTTCACATTCCCTATCACCTATCCTACCATCAGTAATAGGCCCTCCAAGATACCTAAAGGGAAATACACCTTTAGCCATATTAGTCATGCCCAGGATCTCCTCAGACTCCAGGTCACTAATCCCCCCAAGTATCATCTGGGACTTGGAGTAATTAACCTCCAGTCTAGTGACTTCTTTAAAATGCTGAAGACACTCAAGTATAACCTTGATTGACCCCCTGTCAGCTTTACAGGCTACTATCAAATCATCTGCAAATGCCAGATTAATTAACCTCATACTCCTGCACTTTGGATGATATTTAAAATTGCTCTTTTCAACATAATACAGCAAGGATCTTGTTAAGTACTCCATCACTATAGTGAATAGAAGAGGAGATAGAAGATCACCTTGCCTGATCCCTTTACCCCCATTGAAATACCCAACATTCTCCCCATTTAACATAATTGAATAAGATGTGCTGGAGATACAGAAATAAATCCAATCGATAAACTTATTTGGAAACTTCATAAATTCCAGTATCTCCTTAATAGCTCTCCAGCTGATGGAATCATAAGCCTTTTTCAGGTCCAATTTCATTAAACACCTCGGAGAGACCCCCTTCCTGCCATATCCCCTTGCTAATTCATGACATAACAAAATATTGTATACCAACTCTCTTCCTTCAATAAACGCACCTTGGTTAAGGTTGATGATATGAGGTAGTACCTTCCTTAATTTAGAGCACAGAATTTTAGAGATTACCTTGTAAATCACATTACAACAGGCAATTGGCCTAAATTCAGAAGGATTCTTTGGGGAATCTATTTTGGGGATGAGTACCACATTGGTTGCATTCAGCTGTTTAGGGAATTTCCCATTTTGAAAGAATTCACCCACACCTTTAATGATCAAATCCCCCAGTATGTTCCAGTTCCTTTTGAAGAATCCACTATTGTAACCATCTGGCCCCGGGCTTTTGACACTTGGAATAGAGAAAACATCATCTTTAATCTGATCCTGAGTAACTTTTTCTAAGAGAAATAGTTGTTGACTGGTATCAAGGCAGGGACCTGAACTAACCACTTCTTCCTGGACAGGGTTAGTCCAGGTACTAGATCCAAAAAGCTTCTTGAAGTAATCCACCAGTACCTCAGCCACTTTCTCCCTTCCTTCCACTTTTTCCCTTCCATATTCCAGAGGACTGTGATTTGATTTTGAAGAGCTCTTTTTTTGATCTAGGCAAAGAAGAGCTTAGAGCTTTGATCCCCTTCTGTAATCCATTGTTGTTTTGTCTGTTGGAATTTCATGGTCTGAGCTGCTTTCATTTTGATAATAAGCTCTTCCAGACATTCCTTCTCCTTATTAATTAGAATCTGATTCCCTATGTCCATCTTCAGTTTATATTGGATCTCAGATAGTTCCTCTCTCAGCACCTCACATTGATGGTGAATATGCTGAAATTTGCTCTTATTAAGGAGTCTTAGAGGGCCTTTAAGTTCTTTCATTTTCTGTAACAGCTGATACATAAATCTACCCTCAGTCTTCTTACTCCATACCCTCTTGAGTATATTGTTTAAAGGGTGTTAGATGATAAGAACTATCAATTTTATGAACGGAGAACCGTAGGAATCCCGAGTCATAATATGACCCAAGGTTCAAGGGTCAAAAGATCCTTGCCGTTTGTTAAAGTGAAATTTGCACTAAATAGGACAAAAACATAAATCATTTTTTAATGTAGGACTTAAATTTTTTTATTTCCAAAATAGGACTTAATAAAGTCTAGTTGGAGGAATAATGTCCAGTGATTATGGACATTTACTTGAATAATGACTAATAGATAATGACTAATGGTTTTATATTAGAATATAAAAACATGGCTCGTATATTGAGAAAATCATATACTCCGTAATTTTGATAAAAATGTAAAAACAAGAAGATTTTTCTAATTAGATGGAGGGAGTATATATATAACATGGAGTACTATCTAGCTCAAATAATCATCCACGCATAAGATTACTAGGAGATATAAGATGTATAAGAAGGATAAACTAATTTTGACTTTTGACAAATGTAAATAGAGTTTATTTTGTAGTTGAATTCTCAATATAACATTGTCTTTGAATAAATTGAGTAAAAGCTGAATGTTACCCTGGTGAGTAAATTAATATTGAATAGAAATGATGTGATAAGTTAATTAGGTAAAAGTGAGTAAGGCCAAATAAACTTTTTAAAGAAAAATAGAATATTTTTTGGAAAAAATAAAGCTACTTCTAGACCAAGGAATATACCTTATTCTGTACACCACGGGTTTGTACCGTCATTTCATTTGTTTACCTTGGTATAAAATACTAGCATAAAATTTTTCGCACTAGTATTTTATTTTCTAAATAAGAGTTCCATTTTTTATTCCCTAAATATGAGTTTGCATTGTGGTAATATAATACTGTAAATGTGTATTTTACGTAATGTACATGATCATGATTGGTAATATATATACATTTTAATTCCTATTTCTGAAATAAAAACACAAAGCTAATATTTTAATATATTTTCTATGTTTTATTCTAGCTTTTATCTACTTTTTAACTTTGTAATACTTCGTAATATTTATATAAACAGGACGGAGACGAAGATTTCAAGATGCTGCTTTTGGGTAGAAGATGTGGACGGACACGAGGTTGGGGAGGGTGAAGAACAATGAGAGATATTGGTGATGGTCGGGGATGCCAGAAAGAGTGGTGGTGTGTTTGTAGAAGATTCCGGCGAGTACATAGAATTGCCGGAGGAAGCCAAATTATTTGTGGGGAATTTACCTGTAAATCAAATGTATAAATGATCAATTGATTACAAATAACCTGACCTAATTCTATAAAATCTTGTTCGTAAAATAAACTACAATCTATTTAATTTTGCATAGATTTAAAATAATCAATTAATTTTATAAAATCTATAAATTCTAAATAATTTATCAGAGAATCTTTTAAAATCATCATTAAATACCCTTAATCTAAATACCCCTAAGTTTTTATGGAGTGAGGAAGAAATATGGGAAAAAACTAAAGTAGGACTAAAATATTGAAAATATACCAAAATAGGACTTCCATGTTTTTATTCTCGAAATAGGACTTACATTACCAAACATGGTCATATACATTATCAAAAACGTATAGTAATGTGCACATGTACACTGTCACATTACCACAATGCAAAGTCACATTACCACAGTGTAAAGTCTTATTTCGGAGAAAAAAACATGAAAGTCCTATTTTGAAACTTTTCCTATGTTTTAGTTCTATTTGGGTGATTTCTAAAGAAATATTATAGATTCATTAGAATACAAAAAAAAATTAATCAATGGAGGAAGAGGAGTTTTCCAAATCCAAAATCTAAAGATGAACGACGAAGGACGATCACTATCAGTCTATCAACATCATCATCAGATCACAGCTGGGACGCTGCTCCGCAAATACGAAGAGGAAGCCCTTTTGCCGACAATCTACTTTGATTTCTTCGCTCCGAGCAGAGGAAAGTCCCGTTTCTGCAATTTCCCCGATCGGAAATGGTTGGATCCCATGAGACCTGGCCTTCTCGATCCATGGTAATTCTTCAAGATCCCATCATCATCATCTCTGTCAATTTATAAATGGATATATGCATTCTGCCTAGGTTGAATTTCCTAAATGTGTGAATTTGGGCTGATATTTCAGGGTGTTGGTACTTTTTTGAAATTAATATAGAATACTCCTTTTTTTGAAATTAAAATAATAAAAGTTATTTAGACATTTGTGTTGAATTAGAAAGTAGATTTAGATATTAGGAAAAAAACCAAATCAAAAGATTTACATTAGTCTATGACTATTTTAGAGTGAGTGAGTGTGGGAGTAATGATTACCTCAAATGCGTGTTCTTGTTGGGTTCTACTTTCTAGTGAGACATTGTTTTTGTGTTTGGCAAACATTTGGATAACCTTTTTTAAGATATAGTTTTACTTTTTGGGAAAATATATTTGACTGGCTCTTTGAGGTTCATGATTAGGCTCTAAGAGTTGAATCACATAAAGGGTTTTGGGACTACTTTTTGGACTGCTTTCTGTTGAAAATGAGTTTATTTTAGATGAATGATTGGTCAAAAAGCTACTAGACTCTTTGGAACAAAATTCCAGTCACAAAAAGTGTGTTTTTCAAAGCTTTTTAATGAGAATTTTTCAGTCAATTACTTTGTATCTTTGAAACCTCTAACAATTGACACAAACAACTCATTTGATCAAACAGTTTTTTAAACAACTAATACAAACATCTAATATCTAATAATCCCATGCCAAACTCGGCCAAAGTTTGTTTCCCATGCTATTTGGGCACATCATTTTTTGGTTTAGAGTTTTTTTAAATTACGAATCATAAACATCATTTTACTAGACAATCTTTTCTTAAACATTCATCAAAAACAACTTATTCTTACAGTTGAATACAAACCATGGCCTATGTTATTTATTTATTTATTTATTGCGCTGAAGAGTAAAATATTCGGAAAGCATAAGTGTACAGTGTCTTTAGAACCTAGTATAACTGTACAAGTCATAGGAGTTAATATAGGCTTTATGATCTGAGTACTCCATTTTCCATGCATGTAGACATAACTGTTCAAAATTTGACCAAAATGATACGGAGTATTTAGACTTTCTTTTTTGGGTGTCCCGTAAATTTTTTAAAAACTTTTCTACTTTCTTTTTCTGGAAATCAGATCGTGGCTTTCATCATTTCTCTCCCTTCTACCTAAATTTTAACCACACATCTTTCACTTTTTAATAATTTTCTTAATCCCCAAGAAGTCAAATTGTAATTTTCATTTTCAGAGGTAGTAGATATAAAGGTTGAGACATAAAGTGCAACTGACATAAAAGGTTGTCACTATGTTTTTCTACTTTGCATTTGTTTATAAGTTTTAACTAATTTTCACAGCAGTTACTTTGTACTAAAGTGTATAAACCTTTATGCCACCGGCCCCAGTAGTTATAGGTGAGATGGTGAACAATGTGTTGATTGTCCATGACTACATGTACATATCTGCTATTTTAAGACCTCAGTGGCTATGAGTTGTGATTATGGGGATAATGAAAAGTGTATATTAAATGAAACGTATGGATTATGTGATCCATACCCTTTTCCAGATGTGCAGAAATTGGATATTTTGCCCTATTTTCTCAGTCTTAAAATGAACATTTTTGGGCGAATACTCCCCAAAATTCGAAGTTGCAGCCGGACCAAAAAATAATTCATTCACAGAAATTATAATAGCAAAAGTTTTTCATGTAGAAAAATGTTTTTAACCAAACCTATCTAATTTTAATAGTAAACTTTTCCGTTCATCATGCAATGTTTGAGTGTGCTACTATATGTGTAATGCTACAGTTGGACAAAGTAAGACAGAAGGTTGTGGAAATGTCGGGCAGAGATGGGGACGAAGTAAGGTTTGCCGTGTCACCTTATAGGATTTGTCCACTGGGAGCTCACATAGACCATCAGGTCGGAATTTTGAAAATGCATGTATCCATCTCTTGAATATACAATGCTAAAAGCGTGTGTGAATTAATGATGGATCTCATTAAGAACTAAAGAGTGAATCTTGTTAATATGTTTCAGGGTGGGACTGTTACGGCTATGACAATCAACCACGGCATATTACTTGGTTTTGTTCCCTCTAGCGATGCCCAGGTACAAATTATATATTCTATAAATGGAATGACATACATTTGTGTTTCCTTGAGCCAAGGGTCTTAAAGAAGAAATTGGAGTCTCTAGTCAGTAGTCTCTACCTTTTAAGGTCAAGGTCTGCGTACACTCACCTTTTGTAGATCCCACTTGTGGGACCTTACTAGGTTGTTGAAAACTTGAAATAGCATATTAAAAGGTCCTTTATACATTTCAAAAAAGTTGCATATTAAATGTTCTCCCCATGACTGTATGTTGTTCACTTGTTCTCTTTCATTTCTATGTACCAGCATGTCTGTTAATCTGCTATAGTTTGCATCAATCATTTTGCAGCTAATCCATACTTTGTACTGTTTTTAAGTAAATGTTAAGGATTTTTCGCATGTAGTCTACTACTTTATGAAGTTCCATTGGAGGTCTATATTAACTCCGAACATTTTTCAGTGTTTGTTCTCTATGTCATTAAATACCAACTAAAGTCTTTATAATTTTGGAATGTTGCATCTTTTAATCCTTTTTAGTGTATTATTTTGAGGACCTTTGATGGAAAGAGGAATAAAATTGGCAAATATAAAGGACCATTTGCAGACTAAATGTGGAATATCCTCAAATATAAAGGACCATTTGTGGAATTTACTCTTTTTCTTGTAATTTTATGGTCAACAAAAATATCATTTGTAGGTCTATCTACAATCTGGACAGTTCAAAGGAGAAGTAAGAATCAGGTACATTTTGTAGGTTAATCTACATATGTTCAGAAAATAAACACAAAACTTTATTTTTTCTTTCTTTCTTTCCCCCCTATGCTTCATTGCTTGCACAATATGTGAGTGAAAACATATCCTTTTTTATTTAAAGCACTTCACATTATGGCTCACATGAGCCACACAACACCATTTTATTTTCACTAAGATGATTTGACACGCACCCGGAAAATGATATGGAGTAAATTATGGACAGTATAACTTTTTATTTCAGGGTTGATGAGGTTCAAATCCCCATTCATCTTTCCAAAACAAATGGTATTAATGGTGCAAAGGATTTATCAAAACCCGAGCTTGAAGAAGCCAAGTGGGGAAACTATGTCCGAGGTGCTTTATATGCGTTACAAAAGAAAGGAAACCGTCTGGATAAGGTGAGATAGCATTCTTTTGTTGCATAATTTAATTTGTGCTTGTTTTTTTGGAATTGTGTAAATTTACTCCGACAATTTCTTCAATTCATTGGAGGTAAGATTGCCTTTCCATTCATTTTCTGTTGTTTCATTATCATTTTCAACTATTTTGGTAGGGCATCACTGGTTTTATATGTGGTTCTGAAGGTCTTGACAGTTCAGGTCTCAGTTCTTCTGCAGCAGTAAGTCTATTTGATTCATGACAGCTCATTTTTTTTCCAAATGTGCTATGCTGCTTTTGAGATCAATATTTCTTTTTTAAATTCCAATCAAAAGTACTTCTAACAAATGTCAAATGTTATGCTGGTTTTTAGTTGAATTGCTTTTCGTAGAACCACTAATTCTAAAAACCATTTCTTCTTAAACCGTTTAAACAAAAGCACATCCAATCAAGCCAGAGAATGTTAACCATTCTCAACATTTAACAGGTTGGTGTAGCATATTTGTTGGCTCTAGAAAATGCAAATAATATCTGTGTGTCCCCCACAGAAAATATTGAGTATGATAGGTATGTTATGTTCCCTCTACACACTATCTAACTCACTAACCTTCATTGGATGAATGTGCACCATTTTGGGTAGTTTTTAACTTTGCAATGTGAATTTCTTTCTTGCAGAATAATCGAAAATGAATATTTTGGTCTAAAAAATGGCATACTGGATCAATCGGCCATCTTGCTTTCCAACCGTGGCTCTCTAACTTGCATAAATTGCAAGGTAATGTGCTCATATGTGTCAATATACTGCAAAGATCAATGATTCTCTGCCTTGAAGACCACTTTATCCTTTTGCGTTGTTATTTTTTCTTTTTGGTCAATATAAAAAAATATCAGAATAAAGAATATATCCATTGCGAACATAAAAATTGAAAACCAGTATTTTAAATATTTGACTGGGATTTTGCAGACTAGAGCGCACAAGTTAATACAACCTCCAAGTTCTCACAATCCTTCAAAAACAGAGGCCTGGAACACATACAAGATATTGCTGGCATTCTCAGGCCTTAAACAGGCCTTAACAACTAACCCCGGATACAATAAACGAGTCTCCGAGTGTCAAGAGGCTGCAAGAATCCTATTGAAGTAAGACTCAATTCTATTGTTTGGACAGTCCAATTACCCCAACATTTTTATAGGCGATTTAAGCCCAGCCCATGTCGTGTTTCAACTATTTACAGGGCATCAGGAAGTGAGATAGTGGAACCTATCCTGTCTAATGGTTAGTATAACTAACCTTGGCTATGATATTGGACAGAGTTATGCTCATCATTATTTTAATAACTTATTCTATGCAGTCACGCAGGAAGATTATGAAGCTCACAAGGTAAGTGAATTGTTGTGACACCATAAGTATCCAATGAGTGGGAATCTTTTGACACCTGCCCTCGGTGTCATAATATGATACCGTTCATTTGAGCAACCTATGGTGTTTTATTGGACCCCAAAGTAGTTTCTACCCCTAACTCTCAACCCCATTTTTTCACCGATATGCTACAATGAACAGTATAGCATATTGACAAAATGGGGTAGGGACATGCTGGGGTTTGTGGGGCTTTGGGGTCTAACGGAGCACCTTAGTGTCCCTGGGTCATATTATGACACCCGAAACATGTGTCAAAAGAAATGTGGTCATTATCCAATATCTGGTTAGATTTTTTCATGTGGTTGTATGTTTGGATCTCGGGAATTGTCAAGAAAATGAAAAGAAATGCTAAAGAAAGTTATTTTCTTATGAATGGCTTCACCATGGAAAGCTTCAAGGAAAATAAAATATAACTACATTTTTACAAATTTTAAATAGGACTCCGTGTATTAGTCTTTTTATAATACAATAACCACAAAACCAATAAAATTTCACAACACTAGGGTGGGGGGAGGGTGTGTGTTTAGAGACTGTTTCCGAGAGACCTTGACTCAAACACAAAAGCACAAAGTAAACATAGTGGCAAAAAAAAAAGAGTATCAAATAAATGAAATGAGTGTGGACAAATAAAACTAAATGCTTTTAGTTTGAGTCTCTATTAGTTTTTCCCCAAACTTTTTCCCCTTCCAATTATCTTCTCTTTTTTCCTTCCTACTTTCTTTTCCAAACAGTTTACCGTGCTCCAAACGGACCCTTAAGTGTAACAATAAATTTCTGCAGAATAAATTAGAAAGGAATGTAGCACGAAGAGCTGAGCATTACTTCTCAGAAAATAAGCGAGTTATCAAAGGTACAATTCTCTATTGCGGGCTCCAATACACTTCCCTACACATCCATTCTCTGCATTGTAATATGACACTTTAGTTGAAACTACAGGACTCGAAGCGTGGGCGTGTGGAAACATTGAGGAGTTCGGGAAGCTCATCACAGAATCCGGAAAAAGTTCTATTGAAAACTACGAGTGTGGTATGTATTCATTTTTCTCAACTTAATTTACTACACATCACTATGTTTTGGCTTTGGGGCATTATGGAATAAAGAAAAATGACTCTTTATTGAACTAGTAGTTAGTCAATGCAACTTTTGATGCTCATCATGGGTCATCCAGAAACAGCCGCTTTAAGCATAAGGGTCGGGCTACATACCCGTGTGTTGCTTGAGTCGGGGGTCAGTTTAGAAACAACCTCTTCAGAAAGTAGTTAGGTTGTTTCAAGGTTATCTTCTTGAAATTAGCAGAAACCAACTCAATCACAACCTCAAGTTTTTGATTGTAGGCATTTGAAAGATATTATACTCTAACACACTCACGCTTGCGGGTGAGATCTGTTTTTATTTGAGCGTTGTACCATAAACATTACTCTCTAGTTTTTAAAAATTGAGGTTCAAACTCGTAACTTCTAGATCCATTCAACAAGATTGATACCATGTTAAGGAACAACCTCAACCATTAGCTCCAGCTTTTGGTTGTAGGCCTATAAAACATTTATACATATTATAACACCATCTGCAGGTGAGATTTGCTTATGTTCCATCGTTGCACGTGAATATCATTATTTTCTAAAACTAAGCGGCGGTGAGTTTTAAACATGATATGTATTGTTTCTCCAGGTTGTGAACCGCTGATACAACTTTACGAGGCCCTTCTAAGGGCTCCTGGTGTATATGGAGCAAGGTTTAGTGGTGCAGGGTTCAGAGGGTGTTGTCTGGCCTTGGTAAAACCAGAACTAGCAGAAGAAGCCGCGGCCTTTGTCAGGAACGAGTACCATAACCTCCAACCCGACTTGGCTATCCATCTCAAACATGGAAGTTCGGTCTTGATATGTGACGCTGGTGATTCGGCTCGAATTATCTCATCTAAAACCGAGCCGGACTGGCCGCTTTCCTGCAATAGCACTCGGGCCACCTAATGTATGCAGTCTGTGAACGACTCGATGTGTGCGGTTTTGAGCTGTCATCCATTCTTTTTACATAAAAAAGCGTACTGATTCTGTCCAAAAAAGAATGCCACATTTCACTATTCTAAACTTATGGGAACTTTGGTTTATTTGTGTGTTTTTATTGATTATTTGATAAAATAAAATATTTTTTACTATTTTTAAATATGTAAGTTTATTTTTTATTTTTATACCATTTTTTAAATACAATGAATAGAAAAAACAAAAAAAAATTGCTTTGTTTTGCAGAATATGGCATTCTTTTTGGACCGGAGGGAGTCTGTTTGAAGTTCATACCATTACACTTTTGTTTCTTTTTCCAATTGTTTGTTGAGGTTCATTCATTTGCTTTGAATTTGTTTGTAAAAAACTTAGGTGTGATATAATATGAACAAAATTGTGTTATAAATTCAAAGTAGTTTACTTCGAAGTAGTTGTTTTAGAATCTATTCTTTTGATTTTAAACTTTTAACTTCTTTCTCCGTCTCCTAAAATACTTTTTGTTTGTTCCTTTTGGGAAAAAAAGTTATGGAAGTTTGATTAAAGTTAAATGACGATAATTCAAACGAGTTACGTTCGGAAAATATCAAAACGAGTTACGGGTAGGGTTACTGTAGAAGGTAGTTGAAGGTTGTTCGATTAGATTTAAGAAAAGTAAGGTCACCTTGTGGCAATTTGAGCCAAATTAAAATGTTTTATGGGACATAAAAGCTGAAATTTTTTACGGGACGAAGTAATATTTTTTTCAATTCTTTAAGTTTCATCTATTTTTTTAGTTTTTTTCAATTATTTCTAGTTTTGTTTGAACTCTTTCTTGTTTCTTCTATCCGGAGTAAGGCCATGTTTACTTCACCTGATCTAATTGGAATAAATTCTGATCTAGTCAGATCTGATCTGAATTCAATTATATTTAAAACTATTTCTGATCTGATTTGATCTGATTCCAATAAGAATAAGTAATAAGTAAAAAATAAGTTGAGAATATGGCCTAATTCTTTTTCTTCTACCTGGAGTAGTTCTTTATAGTTTCTTCTAACAATGACTTTAAAAAAAATATTTATGTACATTTTTCACACTTCTTCTGTCTGACTTTTATATTCTCATTGACTTTTCACATTTTTTATATAACACTTTGATCATTAATATCAATATTTACAAATAGATATATTTTATAAAATTTTAATATTTGAAATTATGTTTAAAAAAACTAATGATATTGCATTTATATCGAAATAGAATACTTTGACCGAGAAAAGTAAAATAGTTTGATTCAATCCGAATGAAGGGAGTGTTTTTTTGTATGCTATATTCTTCATATTATTATTATTATTATTATTATTATTTGAGACAAAAATATACGGAGTATTAACATATACAAAATAAAAATAGATAAATAAATAAGTTTAAATTGTTTAAATAAAAAATGAACTTCATTAAATATAACAATTATTTCAATACTTTTTCATTTCTCCAACTCTTAATTTTTTCCAATTACTTCCAAATTTTTTATTTTATTCTAGTTTTATTCAATTTCTTCCAGTTTTTTTCTAAGTCTTTCCATTTTCTTATATCATCTTCTAGTTTTTCCAACTTCTTCCATTTTTTACAACTCTTTCTAGTTTTTTCTAACTTCTTCCAATTTTTTTCAACTCTTTCAAATTTTTTTGAACATTAACTTTGTTTTTACAATGCAAATGAACAGAGCCTTAATATATAAATATAGAGTAATATGATTATAGTACTATACAACTCTAAATTGTTAGTGAATATCATTTTCAATCGGTGTTACCGTTTTGAAGAATATTTTGACGATACATATTACTCTATAGCTTTGCAAATACTAAAGCAAAATACTGACATTAGATAATACTTTTAAAATATTAAAGTTAGATACTAAAGCTGTTGCTAAAGGGGTCTTATACTCCTTTCACCCTATTAAGATCTTTTTCGTTTTATCCGTCTAAAAAAACTTCACTTTTTTTAAAGAAAAGAATGTGCCAAAAAGAAATTGCTCTCCTATCAAATTTGTTCTAAGTGCCTTTTTGTTCATTTTTCAATATTTTTATTAAACTCCATGAAAATCAAAACAATAAAAATTTTACGGGACAGAAAGAGTATAAAATGATATTTTTTATTTGACGAGTTAATAGAATCATGTCGGTTCTATCAGTTCTATGAACATTTTCTTTGTTACGCTCACAAAATTAATAGTTCCTACTATCTAATCTCCTCGATAAACTCCTCACTCAATCTTGATCCCAACCTATCCTCCTAGCCACATTAATTACACCCCATGAGTATAGTTACTTTGGTGTCAAAAATAATGATCTCAAAATCAACTAAACTTGTACGGTGTAATTGACGTGGCTAGGTGATAGGTTAAGTTGGGGTTGAGACTGGGTGGGAGGGAGGAAGGGGTAGGAACTATTAATTTAACGAACGAAACATCATAGGTGTTCCAATTGAGACAATGTCTCCCGTAATCACACGAAGAGAGTGACCTTAAACCAAGCGAGAATAGGTGAATAGATTAAGCATTATTAATATATGCATTTTTTATTTGATAGGTGAATAGAATAAGCATTATTTATGTGTTTTCATTATTTATTTGATAAGATAAGAAAATCTTATTACCTCTTATTTTGTAGATTTTTAAACGTGATTTTATAATAATATGCAAGTTTATTTTTTATTTTTATACCAATATTTAAATAAAATAAATAAAAAAAATTAAAAAGTTCATTTCATTTCATTTTATTAATTTGCATTTTTTTCCAATTGTTTGTTGAGGTTCATTCATTTGCTTTGTATTTCTTTGTAAAACTTATTAGGTGTGATATAGTATGAACAAAATAGTGTTATAACATTTTTACCTCATATTTATATCTGTAAAATAGGTGTAATATGAAAAATAAATATAAATATTTTTAAAGTCACATTACCTCATATTTATATATATAAAATAAGTGTAATATGAAAAATAAATATAAATATTTTTAAAGTCAATGATGAAGAAACTGGAAAAATTGAAACAAATAACTTTTTTTGACTTAAAAACCTTTTTTTTTTGACTTTTTTTCAAACAGTAATAATATTTGACCATAAATTGTGAGAAAAGAATATTTAATTATAATAAAAATTTATTATAATTAGATCCATCTAAAGATATATTTTCGATATATGAAATTTTGATATCATTTATTTATTTAAATTATATTTAATTTATGGTCAAAGAGTATCACTCTTTGTCCAAAAAAATTAAAACAATAAAGGTTTTTTAGACCGGAGTGAACATATATTTTCTCCGTTCCGAGTTTTGTGAAGACCCTTCATGTGTCCCAAAAAGATTTTCTTATTCTATGTCAATCATTTGCATAATATAATTTGTATAAATTTTTATAGGACAATATTAGGGGTATACCAACAAGAGGTACTTCATTTGTACGCCAAGCTAACACAGATATACACAGACACATGATATATGTGTTGTACAGACATTATGTATCTGTGTATATCTCTATTAAATTGGTACACAAATTGGGTACCTCATATTGGTTATCCCTAGATTAATTCATTTTTATAATGCAATTGTAAAGAGTTGGTAGTTGGTACAATATTGAGTGCTTATATAACCGGCCGGCCAATAATTAAAATACCGGCCGGCTTTTAATTATTGTAGATGGGTAGAAGATTAAATTAAACCCCTTTCATTCCGAATTGTTTCCTCACAGACCAACATGCAATAACCCAATTGTAGCCACTACCCATAATTTTAGTGTGTAGTCTCTCACTCCCAATTCTGATTACAAATTAAGATTTACGAGGTAAAATTTTTTACTTTTCTAAAATTATTTCCGGGGGCCTTCATTTTTAAAACCAAGGCGTTTGAACGCAGAGTCTCGGGTTTTAGTAGGCTTGGCGATGCCCTTGCCCTTGTTAGTGCGGGGCTCATCCCATTCCTCCTCATTGGTGACCGAAACAACATGGCCATCTGGTGTATCGGCGGGACGTGAGGGTCCAGCTTGGTTCATCGCCGATACCAAGTTCACCGGCTGGACAGAATGGATCGTCCGAGGGACGAATGGTGTTGGGGTAATCCCGGGCATTTGCAGCGGAGTTAATCTTTGTGTTTGCATCGGGTACATACCAAGATAACCATATGGCATATACCCTCCTGACTGTTGCATCATGGCCATAACATGGTTATAGCCTTGCATCGTTTGGGCGTTTGCCGGGTCAGCGGCAAACTGAGCAAGATGCGGAGGATCCATCATTGGTGGAGCCATCACCCCTGACATATTCGATCCCGGAACGGGACACATGGGTAGGGGCAATGAACCCGAAAATAACGGAGTCGTCGTAGGCATTGGGCTAGGGACGGACATGATCGGAATCATCCCCAATGATCCTACGGAAGTCAGCGGGGCAAAAGTTGTCCCCATGCTAGTCGTTACCGCCAGGACGGTAGATAGTTGGAGCTCAGAAATAACAAGATGGCTGCTATAAGACATTGTTGTGGGTATTTCGTGGGTATAAGAAACTTTGCTGGGCAAGATTTTTCTCCAAAAAACCGGTCCCACGGTCGGCGCCAAATGATGGTGTAAATTCCACCGGGTATGGGAAGTAGGTAACTGGGTCGGGTTAGGGAGGCCTAACCGGGTAAATAAAGATAAGCTTAATAGTAAGGAACACAACACAGAATTACCTAGACCGGGGTAAATCTCCCGAGTCCGAATATATTTCTTACTCTAAGAAGAGTGTACAAGATTTTATGGAAGTAGTAGTGAATGCCTTCTCCTCTCTCTATCAAAGATTATTTATAGAGTAGAGGAGGCTCAGTAGGTGCATGGAAGCTACCCACTTAATGACAAATAACCAGACAACATCTATCACTGTGCAATCAGATATGTTGATTGAATACAAATCTGGGATGGTGCCAAAGGACTTTACCACACTGATCTCTTGAGTGACGGGTGTGGGTCCCTCCATTGATCTCTTAGATACTAGGGTTTGGGGGAGGCAGATACGTCCGGCCATGATCCATAGATCGAAACTCAAAAGTGAGACCGATCAAGTTGTACGGAGCCCTATGCTTCATTCCTCAAGAGCTCAAGATAGTGACCGGTCTTCAATCCAGGGGTGACCGGTCATCCACGACTTTTCTAAAATAGCTTCCAAGGTTGATCTTCGAAAACCGAAAGTGTGACCGGTCACCTATCTTCCGGGGGTGACCGGTCACCAAATGTCGCGCCCAAAAGTGTTCTAACGACCATTCTTGAAGACTAAAGTCGTGACCGGTCACCTTTTTCCGGAGGTGACCGGTCACCTAACGTCGTGTCCCCAATACTCAATTTACCAAGTTCGGAAAAGTAGATCGTGACCGGTCACCTAATTTCTGGGGTGACCGGTCACATATCGTCATGTCCCAACAAGTCGCCTAGCCGAATCTGTAAGACCCGACCCGTCACTGGTCACCCGACCTCGCGGTTGACATGTCACCTCGGTATCGATGAGTATACCTGGGTATGTAATATACCCATCAATAAGCCCTCCACTTACCAGTTTTGTGAGAATCATCAAGACTGGGAAGTACTTTAGCGTGATTCATTTCCACAAAGCGAAGCACCACTGGGTACCGGAACCCAATCTCGATCCTCCCACTAGCGCCTAGCTCTGAAGTCGACATGGTCTCATGCTTTAAAATTTTGATACTAGGATCCTCCCCCTAGCCTCTTCCTTGTTTGGGTTTTCTCCCAAAACCATAACATAATTTTGAAATTCAAAATTTAAATTTTGAAATTCCCCCCAAGCCTCTTCTTTGTTTGGGTTTCCCCCCAAAACCATAAAATACTTTTAGAATTCAAAATTCAAATTTTGAACTCTCCCCCCTCACCATTTTCGGCAAAATGTCATGCCCCCATTAGCCGAGGTGGGCGGTCCCTCCTTCCTCTATAAATAAACTCTTTTCCTTCATAACCTCCTCACTTCTCACTCTCTTCATACTTCAAACTCGCCCGGTCTTCTCCCTCCGCTCATCCTTCTCTTGCTCGGCCAGGTTAGCCCTCCTAGTCTTCTTTTATTCAATCGGTAGGGTAATACCCCAGCCCCCTAGCCTCTTTCCTTCGACATGGAGAGTAGTCCCATGTCTTCTTGTGGCGATTCTCAAGATGGATCGGGTTCTTCCACTTCCACTGGCCCGTCATCTTCCCCCGGCATGTCGGCACGGCCCGTCCCTGACCGACTGGACCAGCCCTCCGTGGCCATGATGGTTTCCGACCCCATGCCCCTGAATCAGATGCCTGGTCGATTTAAACCCGAGACTGACGACTAGGAGGAGTTTGCCGCGTCGCTGGACGCGGTTGGCTACCACGCCCTAGACTTTTGACCCATCCTTGGTATTCCCACGAAAATCGCCAAAGTTTTATCGAATAAGGCGCGGAGTCTAATGCCCCCGGGATACATCCTTCACTATAATGCCAACCATCAAAACATCATAGATCCCCACCGGAGACCACGGTTAGGTTTCCATCTAGCTTCATTGGACATCGGGATCCTCTTTCCCCTTCGTCCCCTTCTCGTCCAGGTATGCAAAAGATTTTCCATACTCCCGGGTCAGTTGACCCCAAATGCCCATGGACTACTAAATTGCTTCACAAATATTTGCAACTTCAAGTAGATCACCCCATCTCTAGAACTCTTTCTCTTTATGTTTGAAGTTTTACCGGGTAACACCAATTGCTCTGGCTTTGTGTACTTTCACTCCCGAAAAGATAGATCCTTCATCTCTGATGTTCGTCCCGGTCACAAAAAGTGGAAGACACGGTTTGTCTTTATTGAGTTTCCCGAGGGCGAGTTCCCCTTTGATGGTGAACTCCAATCGGGAGACCGGCTCCCTCAATCTGAAGATGTTTACCCAGCCGCCACTTCTGCTCTTGAGAAAGATTGTGCGGCATTGTTGAAGGGAGATCTGGCCACCGGGAAGGCCTTTAGCTTCGGGAATTGGACGCACCGGGTCTCTATCCTGGATGAGGGTACCCCTAGGTCCAATGAAGCAGAGGCTGACCGGGTCGCAACCCCGGAGAGTAATGCTGAGCCCGGGTCTACTCATCCAGGTTGGTCGCCTTTAACAACACTAACTTCTTCTTCTTTTTCTTTTTTTTTAACCGTGATCCTCTCTTTTTTCTTATAGAGATGAACTTCAAAAGCTATGCCGACCCCGAGGATGAGGTTGAGGATCTCGAGGCCAGCCATGGAAACTTTACTTCCCCCCGAGTCGACCACAATCATTCCATCGGGATCGATGATCAGGTGACACATGACGTCCAATTTGAGAAGAACCAAGGCCATGAATTACCCATAGATCACGGCCTAAGCCAGTTGGACGATGTTGCTGAAGCGGCCGGTCAAAGTGAGAAGAGGAAGAAGACTTCCCACAAGAGCTCTAGATCCCATTCTAAGAAGAGGAAGGTGGATCCCCACCGTGTTGATCCCCAATTCACAGAGATGTCCGCCGAGCAACTTCTCCTAGCCATCGCCCAAAAATTGCACAGGGTAAGGTACCTTTTCCTTTGCTTTATTTTAAACACCCTCAATTCGTACTAACATTCCTTTGTTTTTGCAGCATGGTGAGTTCTCTGAGGATTTCGCCAAACAAATCTTTGGCACGGGCGATGATGAACCCCAACGGCTCCAAAGGATGCTTGATGCTGCCCATTCCCTCTTGAATAGGGCTAGACTTTAGATTGGTACCTTTGAAATTTCTTCCATTGTACTATTGACATTGTTGTTGCGTTTTGAACCCGGTTGACTCTGATTGCTTGCTTGATTTAATATGTTTATGCTACCATAGGGAGATTGGTAATTGAAATTCAAATCATCCGCGCCAGGATTTGGAACAGATTACCCCCCAGGGCGTAGTCCGAAAAAGACATTTTAAACAAGGCCGATGGTATTACCAAAATGGTGACCGGTCACCCTGCCAAAATGGTGACCGGTCACAGGCCAAAACTCGCCAAACTGCTCCATTCTGAAACTTTAAATCGTGACCGGTCACATTACCAAAATGGTGACCGGTCACCTTACCGGAATGTTGACCGGTCGCGGGTCAAAACTCCCCAAACTTTGTTTCCAGAACAATATGGTGACCGGTCAAATTCTAAAAAAGGTGACCAGTCACACAGGCTTGTTCCCGCGCTCTCCTTTGGGTATTCGGCGACCGGTTCGCTAACAGAATCTTTTAGTATCCTCCATGAGATCAGATCACTTCCGGTCTGGATCGCTTTTTTTTTGCAAGGCATCAACCATCTTGCTCCTCCTCGATTTAGTCAGCTGCATGGTCCACATATGCGTGATGGTCTGACTTAACCGGGCATTCGATATTTCTCTTGTTGTCGGGCATCCAGTTTTACCTGGGTAATGTTTATCTAAGTCTCCACATCAAGACCTAGCTAACATTGGAGAACCAAGATCATGTACTATGACCGCGAACCCTCTCCAAGGTCCAGCCCTCTTCCAGGCTTCACCCTCGCTCCAGGGCCCCTCTTCCGGGTTTAAGTTTTTTATTGTGCCTTATTTACCATATTAGATAGACTAAGCCCATCTAATCTTCCCAAGTGGGGTACGCCAGTGAGAACTAGCACGCTTCCAATCTACACGACCATGTATTATGTGTTTGGAAGATTTCATCTTTTTCAGAAAGAGAATTTCCAATCCACAAACGATGGTCTCATGAGACGGTATCATTTTTTGACATCTTTTCCTCCCTTCCCAGTAGAAATCTGGTCAGGATCCATGTTTAGTATGGGTGCGAACCCTCTTCCAGGTCCAGCCTATCTCAAGGCAATACCTCAAACATCAAGGCCCCTATCTCAAGGGGTTTTTTTTCTTTTTCTTTTTTTATACGTCGATCCGATCCCAAACATCAAGACCGGTCGCCTAAAGTCCTTAGTTAACTCCACTTGGAATTTAACTGAAAATGATTTCCCCTTCTCTAGGGTAATTTCACCTATTTGCCTTTCTTGCCTCTTCCGCGTACTCGCCGCTGAACTCACCTTTCTTTACCATCTCCCGGAGTAAAACTTTCATACTCCGGCATTCCGTGGTATTGTGCGAATTTGACTGGTGGTAGGTGCACCACTTCTCGGTCCAGGATTTTTTGGCCTTGCCCCCTTTTTTTTCGTCTCGGATCTCATGCACAATGCCTTCGTGATGAGTCTTTGACTTCGAGCCTCCTGACTGATCTTCCTTTTTGGCCTGGGATGATTTGGCCTTATATCCTTCCTCCATCATTGGTGGAGCCATCACCCCTGACATATTCGATCCTGGAACGGGACACATGGATAGGGGCAATGAACCCGAAAATAACGGAGTCGTCGTAGGCATTGGGCTAGGGACGGACATGATCGGAATCATCCCCAATGATCCTACGGAAGTCAGCGGGGCAAAAGTTGTCCCCATGCTAGTCGTTACCGCTGGGACGGTAGATAGTTAGAGCTCAGAAATAACAGGATGGCTGCTATAAGACATTGTTGTGGGTATTTCGTGGGTATAAGAAACTTTGCTGGGCAAGATTTTTCTCCAAAAAACCGGTCCCACGGTCGGCGCCAAATGATGGTGTAAATTCCACCGGGTATGGGAAGTAGGTAACTGGGTCGGGTTAGGGAGGCCTAACCGGGTAAATAAAGATAAGCTTAATAGTAAGGAACACAGCACAGAATTAATATATTTCTTACTCTAAGAAGAGTGTACAGGATTTTATGGAAGTAGTAGTGAATGCCTTCTCCTCTCTCTATCACAGATTATTTATAGAGTAGAGGAGGCTCAGTAGGTGCATGGAAGCTACCCACTTAATGACAAATAACCAGACAACATCTATCACTGTGCAATCAGATATGTTGATTGAATACAAATCTGGGATGGTGCCAAAGGACTTTACCACACTGATCTCTTGAGTGACGGGTGTGGGTCCCTCCATTGATCTCTTAGATACTAGGGTTTGGGGGAGGCGGATACGTCCGGCCATGATCCATAGATCGAAACTCAAAAGTGAGACCGGTCAAGTTGTACGGAGCTCTATGCTTCATTCCTCAAGAGCTCAAGATAGTGACCGGTCTTCAATCCGGGGGTGACCGGTCATCCACGACTTTTCTAAAATAGCTTCCAAGGTTCATCTTCGAAAACCGAAAGTGTGACCGGTCACCTATCTTCCGGGGGTGACCGGTCACCAAATGTCGCGCCCAAAAGTGTTCTAACGACCATTCTTGAAGACTAAAGTCGTGACCGGTCACCTTTTTCCGGAGGTGACCGGTCACCTAACGTCGTGTCCCCAATACTCAATTT